AAAGCGTGAAAGTTATTGAGGGAAATAGAGAGAGAAAGGGACGGAACAGAGGAGAGAGAAAGGGACAGAGGGAGGGAAGGAGAAAGAGAGATAGAAAGAGAGAGAGAGGGAAGAAATAGTTCTTCCAAATGGGGAGAGAGCCAACTACTCCGGCTGGTTACAGGATTCCTTAATAAAACATTTCGCACCCCATCTACAAAGAGATTGAACAATTTGAGACCTCCAAACTCAAGTTTACATCTCTATCATTTCTCTTAGTGCATGGCATTATACCTTGTTTCTCTCTCTACCCAGTTCTTTCATAGAACCTGGGAAACTTAGGATCAGGTCTGGTGGAAACAATAGAGGAAGTCTCTCGGTGTGGTTAAGTGTGCCTGTTGTAGATGATACCATTTGGAAGCTGCATTTGTAACTGGGTAGAAATGTCTCACAAGGCTACTATGGATTTAAATTTGATTTAACTATTTTAACAAGATGAAATCTGAAAGTCTTCAATTCCAGCCAACATTAAGAGTCAGAAATCTGTGTGATCACAGCAGAGATCATAACCACACCAAGAGACTTCCTCTATTGTTTTCACCAGAGGCCAAGCATCATCCGGTATCTGGGTATGGAAAAGTGTGAAAATCTTGGATGACAATGCTTGGCTTCCACAGTACAATATGTGTGGTAAGACACAGGGATGGACCCAACTGTCTCTGTTTGAGGCCATGGGATACTTCCCTCTGTTCCTTAGCTGTGTGGGGTCTACCTGCCAAGGGCGTAGGTAACATCCCCTCCTACATTCATGCTAACCTCACAATGGTGTCTTTTAAAAGAAACTGGTCTGACAGTTCACATTTAACCTTTGACAAGTATGGATCCCACTTGGACTTGTAACTGATGGAGGATGGGATAGTCTCAGCTACCCTTGAGTAGAAAGCAACCTTGTGGTTTGCTGCCATCTTGACTATTAGGTCAACGGTATATTACCCCAATAAAGAATTTAGCTATCCTTTCAGCACTGTCCAATAAAATGTCTAACAATTTATTCTACCAACAACAGAAAACTGATGACTAAAGTCATCCTGAATAAAAAAAAAAGATCAACACAAGATTGAACAAATAGTACAGTGATACCAACTGACTGGAAAACTCAGCATACAACTGCAATAAAGACTGTACTGTTTCCAAAAGACAAAGAGATCATCAGAACATGACAGGACACAGAACAGAAAACAAAAAACTGCCATTAAGATAGAGTCAATTTTTACAAATGAGGCTAGGGAACCCAGTAGGCCTGGCTTTACTAATACAGGATAGACAGGACCACTGTGGCATCTACATGCAAATGTGTTAATGATGCAGACGTTACACCCTGCACAGAATTAACTGCAGACAGATCTACACCTGAATGTTCAGTGCCAAGTGCAGAACTTCAATAAGACACTAGAGAAACAAGGGGTCAGCAAGGTAGCAAATCTTCTTCCCCTGGCAACAGAAAAGCAGTTGAGGCTCACTGCATGTTTATGTCACCAACAAGGATATTTCCACACAAGAGTTCCTGCTCCCCATGCTCTGAAAATTGCAACAAGTAGAACTATATCACTCAGAGCTCCAGCTTCTGAGTTGAAAACCTCAGGGGACCAAACAGTATGGCATCAGACTCGAAATATGGCCATGGATTCCCATCATCACCCTCACCCTGGAGGAACACTATAAAGCTCCAGTGGTTCCACCCCTTGTGGAAACTGTAGCCCCTAACTCACCATACTGTGGATTCTGAGTTCACCCTGCTCTCTTCACAGGTCTCGGCAACAGACAACAGATCACAAGTAAACACACAGGAACACCAGAGCCTCCTACAGCCCTTGGACCTCTTAGCCTGAAGTGTCCTCCCCATACTGTAGGTGAATTGGCCTAGCAGTCTGCCTGGAGGCCGACTGCCTAGAGAGGTCTGAGTGACTAGAGCACCTTCCTTAGTGATGGAGTGTTATAAAGACATACAGCTCAGTGGATCCAAGCCCTGGCTTCCCTCACAGGAACAGAATTATCTAGATTTAAGAGATTTGCATTGTAATAGAACTTGTGCCTGGCCTCTAAAACTTGATCGTTCAGTCTTCCTGCACTCAGATGGCACCTCCCCTTACTCCTCCTATGCACAGGGTCCTGAGCATACACAAACCATTACTCATTGTGCAATGGAGCAATCCCTCTGTCGGACAGCTGAAAGGAAACCCAGTCAATCTAGGCCAAATTTAAAATACCTAATTGATATTCATCAGGAATCAGCAATTCTAAAAAGGCTCACCTATATTTGCTCAAACCTCTCTCAGCTGCACATTGGTAATCAAAACAATAACACCTTCCCAGCCTTCTGTGGTGGCACTGGCCTATGATGCCAGCATTTGGGAGGTCAAGCCAGGGCATCCAATGTTTTTCTGTATGCTATGACTATGTTTTGCTCTCACTGGTTGAGAAATAAAGCTGTTTGGCCAATGGAGAGAGAGAATAAGATTAGGCAGTGCATTCAAACTGAAGACTGAGATGAAAAAGGGTGGAGTCACAGCAGATGCTGCGAGCTGCTGCCAGGAAAAGCAAGATTTGAGAGAACAAGTAACGCCACGAAGCCACGTGGCAAAAATGCATATATTAATAGAAATGGGCTGCATTAAGTTGTAAGAGCTAGCTAGCGAGAAGACTGAGCCATTAGGCCATACAATTTGTAATTAATATTAAGCCTCTGAGTGATTATTATGAGTGGCTACAAGAGCCCGGGTGGAAGAGTTTCATCCAGACCTTGGGGCTAGGCAAGACTGAGAAAATTCCTACTACACCATTGTCTAGGACACCAAAGACCAGCAATTAGGGGGTCCATAAAAGGGAAGGTGATCAGGGTAAGGATGTAGGATGAAATATAAAACGTAGGAAGTTTGGTATGAACATGTCTTACATAAGCCGAAGGCTCATGCTTAAGTTCCTTAATATGTATAGCTCTGATACACCATTTGTAGTTAGAGAGTAAGACAGTCAGCTGAAAGATAACTTAGCAATGTTGGAGCAAGTAACACAGGATACCTCAGACTGAGCTCACAGTGGCCATGAAGAGCCTGGTTCCCTTGACTCCTTCATGATGCTCACTCAAGCATTGGACCAGACCTTCCCAAGTCTGCCCATGGCAGGACACAAAAGTAGTGTTCCACTGGTGATTTCATCTGGGCATCTGAGAAAACCTTGAACAGGTCAGGCTCCCAAAAGGCCCAACTTCAACCTACACAAACAAAAACACATATGAAAATGGAAACATAGGGATTAATGCATGGAAAAATAAGACTTAGAAAAAAAGACTAGTAGAGATTGGAGGTAGAATCCACATAATAGAGAATAAAAAAATCTTAATGACACCAATAGGTGATTTTAAAAACTGTAATTGATATACCTTTAACTATAATATTCTTAAAAGAAGACAGATTCAAATTGATAATTTCTCACATAAATTTAGAGTTGGAAGAGGTGGTGCAATCCTGGAACCCCACCACATGGCAGATTGAGGCAGGAGCATCACACAAGTTTAGGGCCTGGTATAGCTACAGACTAAGCTGATAAAAAAATTGGGCAACTTAACCTGCCTCAAAATAACTTTTTATTTATAACTCTGTGGAGAGATGCTTGCCAAGTATGAGAGAACTCTAGACTAAGTACCCAGTCTTCTCTACCCCAAAAGTGAAAATAGAGCAACTGCAACCGATACACTGGAATGGGTGGGTTAGAAGGGAGTGCTCTGGCAGTGACCAGCTGGTCGGCTGAGCGAGTAGAGGCACCGTAACCAAGTCTGGGGGCTTGAGAGAGAACCCACATCTCCAACTTGTCCTCTGGCCTTCACACATGTGCTGTGGCATGTGTGTTCACACATGTCTGATTGCCCCTTATTCAGAATTTTTAAAAAGAAAACAGAAAACAAGAAAAACAAAAATGGATCAAAACTAAAAAAATTCAGCAAAATAGCTAGTTATGTTGTAGCTCAACCAGTGATCAATAGGAACTCCTTCAGAACATGACCAGCATGGCAATGGGGAGCAAAGCATTCACAGTTCACTTCCTACCCAAGTCATCAAGTTATCAACACAGAGCTCCCTTAGGGTGAAAGGAGAAAATAGTGTTTCACAGCATTACTTATCTCCCAGGTACTTTCCTTTGGATTAAACAACTAACTCTACTCCATGTCAGCAAAGAACAGAAAAACAAAGAAAGCCAGATGAAAAGCAAGGAAATTCATAATAGGAATGATGAATGCAGGGCTGTCAAACCACACCCTTAGCAGGATGCACCCAGGTCTGTCTCTGTGGTATGGACTTTGCCTCACCCCTGCTCAGACAGTGATTTCACAGCATCCAGACTGAAGACTGAGTCTGTTCTATGGCCATCAGCTCATTACTGAGCTCCTTTCTGCTGGGAACAGTGTACTGTGGGCACTTTTCACCTCTGAGAATATGTGATCTTAAGAGTAGGCAGTTCGGAACAAGGGAATCTGTGGCTATTATGTAGAACTGAATAGTATTGTAAAATAAAAATAAAAAAAATAAAATATATATTAAAAAAAAAAAAAAGCAAACCAAGACAGTCCTGGACTAAAAAAAAAAAAAGAGTAGGCAGTTCAACACACAACTGTGCAGTGACTCCCCTGGGGCTAAAGTGCTGGATCATGTATGAATCCTCCTCACTGCTGTCCTGGGCCTATGACACTTACAGATGGCACTGGGATTTCCACACAGATGCAGAGAGGTGACAACCACACAGGGTCACCCTCCTACTGTAGTGTTGTATAATGTGGGACAGGCACAAGAGGTTGCCTGCATGCCTTCCATCTGAGAGACCCCACTCTGCAGTCCTGAGAGTCACCACCAAGCATCATCATCATGCTGTGCTATCTAACAGCCTCCATATCCTGTATTGTTAATACCCAGGACAATCCACCCTTTTGTGAAGAGTACATAGGTAAGCCACACTGGGATATCTCTTACCTGGCAGGTGAAGTGATACCTTGCTCCTTTCCCCAGCCCTGCTGTGCTGCTAGATGGTTTCTCTGACATCTGGGAACAGAAAGCAGTGAGTGGTAGAAGGAACTGTGTTTTTAGATTTTATTATACATGTATGAAAACTTAGCCTACATGTATGTTTGTCCTCCACAAATGTGAAGTGTCCTTGGAGATTAGAAGAGGCTTGGTGGTTCCTCTGGAACTGGAATTAGACAGTTGATGTGGGTGCTGGGAATTGAACCCAAATCCTCAGGAAGAACAATCAGGGCTTTTAACTGGGGAGCCATCTCTCTATCCCAGATAGAATTAAGTTTTCAAATCAGCCTGCAACAAAAGGTTTTGACCTAATTTTGACTTCTAAGTTGTTCCTGGGAGTAAAAATACAGTGTTACTTATCTGCATAAAGGGCTGGAGAGATGGTTCATCATTTTCAGACCACTGGCTGTTCTTGCAGAGGACAAAATTTTAACTCATTGCATCCAAATGACAGCTCAAACCATTTGTATCTTCAGTCCCAGAGGACCTGACACTATCTTCTAGGTTCTTCAGGGCATTGAATGCATGTGGTGCACACACGTGTGTATATATAGGAATAATATCTTTCCATCTAAACAAAACTTAAGATCTTAAGAACACAAACACAGGATCTTCTGGATCTGTGGTTCAGAGACATACTTATCAACTCATCACAAGGCCTGCCTGAGCTACAGAAGGAATGCTAGGCCAACCTACACCACTTTTAAAATACTTTATAATTGTGTTTCTGTGACGGGTGCATGGGTATATCATGTTGCTTGTGGGGCTCAAAAGACAACTTTGTGGAGTCTCTCTTTATAGCTTTTACATGTGCTTTAGGTACTAAATTCAAGTGGTCATGTGTAGTGGTATTTGCTCCACCCATGACCTTGGGCTATCCCACTCAAAAGAGGCAGTACTTTCTACCATTGTATGTGACCTCTTAAAAGGAGCAGGGAAAAAAGGGCGTGTGACTCTTCTCCCTCTCCTTTATGTGATTCATATGCATACAAACACTTTGCACACGAAGCCATCTATCTACTTGACCCAGCCTATCAAATTACATGCAACTTTGATTCTTTGTTCTTTGGTTGTGTTGTTGAGACAGTACCACACTGTGTATTCTTGCTGGCATGACACTCACCATTAGACCAGGGTGGCCTGGAACTCAGAGGAATCTGTCTCTGCCTCCAGAGCACTGGGATTAAAGGGATGCTGTTAACAAGACTGGGCTGTAAAGAAAAGAATTTACAGGACTTGACACTTTGGTATTCTTAACCAAAAGTGGCCACAAGAAAATCCTAAACTGAGAGGACGGTGTCAAGATGCTGGTACCCACTGTCTTGTTATCTTAGTGTCACACAAAGCTATTACAAAGGTAAAATCTAGAAGATGCAAAGATTTGAACTGTGCTCCTAAAACTATAATGCTATAGAATAAATTGGGAGTTTGAGAGTGTCAAATTAAAGCCAGACTCAGAGTAAAATGATTAAGACACATCTTACCATACAATTGACATGGGAAAAAGAATCCACTGGGACTGAACTTGGCCTGGAACTGTAGAGGTGACTGACTAGATATAGTAAGGGTATGAGGGCTGAGCAAATTCAGAAACTGAAAATGTGTGAAAACGTGGTTAAAGGAAGATGGGCTTTGTGTCCTCACTTGATCTTCCTGCCCAGCTTTCTGATGGCTGGGAATTCCGATTTTGTTTGATCCCCAGGACCCACATGATAGAATGAGAGAACCAACTCACATAAGTTGTTATCTAAGATCACCATGGGGACCATGAGATGGGGATGCTCTTCCCCATACAAGCCAGTAAACAAACAATTATCATTTTAAAAATTAAAATGTATCTACATTTTCATAAGCAAAGTCATTCATACCCTCAAATCTGGCAAGGATCCAGCTTCAGTTTCCATCCCAGTGCTGTGATGGAAGGTGTGCTCCACACTCCACCCACCCCTACCTTACAGTTCAGTTTGTGGACTCCACACTCCTCCACCTCTACGTTACTGCTCAGCTTGTTGATCATCTGTCTCATTCAGGGCATCTAATTCATGTAATAGGGACTCTAGCCCACCAAAATCTAGTTCATCAATAACATGCAGCTATTTCAGTGGTAGTGTGAGATCAACCACTCCTATTAAAGATCACTGTCTAGTTGTATTTGTCTACATCATAATACATAGTAAAAAGTGTTCTACTCCTGACCTACATCCCCAGCACCTGAGTTTCCATGCCACAGTTACCCTGAAACCTAAACCACATAAAGACCTAACAAAGAAAGAGAATAAAAGACCTTTTCCTCTTATGAACATAGATGCAAAACAGCCAATAAAATATTCAAAAACCAAATCCAAGAACACATCAGAACAATCATCTACCCATGATCAAGTAGGCTTCATCCAAGACATTCAGGGATGGGTCAAGATACAAAACTCAAGAAATGTAATCCACCATATAAACTATCAAAAAGAAAAAAAAAACCTACATTATCAACACATTAGATGGAGAAAAGGCCTTTAACAAAATCCAACACCCCCTCATGATAAAAGTTCTACAGAGAGAAAGGATACAAGGAACATACCTAATCAGAATAAAGCATTTTCCAACAAGCCTATAGTCAACATCAAATTAAATGGGGGAGAAACTCAAAGTAATTCACCTAAAATCAGGAACACAACAAGACCTCTAATCTTACCATGTCTATTCAATATAGAACTGGAAGTATTAGCTAGAGGAGATTAAGGGGATAAAATTGGAAAGAAAGAAGTCAAAGTATTCTTATTTACAGAGGATGTAATAGGATATGTAAGTGACCCTAAAAATGACACAGAACTCCAATGGGTGAAAAACACTTAAAGCAAAGTAGGATGGATACACAATTAACTCACAAAAATCAGTAGCTCTCCTCTGTAAAAATGATGAAGGGAATAAGAAAGAAAGTAGGGAAATAACATCTTTCAAAATAGCCCCAAATTACATTTAAAATATCTCACAGTAACTCTAACCAAGTAAGTGAAAGACTTATATGATTAAAATGTTCAAGTCTTTGAAGAAAGAAAGATCTCTCACACTCAGGAATTGGTAGAATTAACATAGTAAAATTGGCAATCCTACCAAAAGCAAGCTACAGATTCAATGCAATCCCCATCAAAAACCTAACATAATTCTTTACAGACCTTGAAGGGACACAATTCTCAACTTCAGATGGGAAAACAGAAAACCCAGGTTAGCTAAAGCAATTCTGAACAATAAAAGAACTGCTGGAATTTGAGAGACCCCCACCCCAGTTCCCCCTAAGGCCCGGAGAGCTGAGGAAAGGGACATCTTAAAATAGCCAGAACCAAGTCAGTTCCCATTTCCAGACAGGATGAAGTCAGAAGTTTTAAAAGTACAAAATCAGACTGTCTGGTGGTAGCTAACCATGAGACGCCCCCCTCCCCTGAGATAATATGACCAAATTTTGGAGATGGGCTGTAAAACTCCTGACAGAGCAAAAAATAAGATGAAAGTCCAAACTCAGGAAAACTGGACCAATCAAGGGTGGACCCGTACTAACCCCCTCCTCTGAAGAATTTTGTGGTTTTTGCCTTCAAAAGCTAATCTCCCCAAGAAAGAGGAACTCTCCTCCCTGCCTCACTGTGCCGGGCACTGCGGACGGGGGTTCCTTGCTATCTCGTATTGCGCCAACAAGTAAACCTTGCTATTGCATTCTGGATATATCTGGTCTCCTGGTGGTCTCTTTGGGGGTCCTTATCTGGGCATAACAGAATTCACACCACTCCAGATTGCCTGTTGTAATATAGAGGTATATTAAAAACCACATGGTATTGTCATAAAAACAGACACACTTGTCAATGGAATAAAATTGAAGACTCTTGACATGAACCCACACTCCTATGAATATCTGGTTTTTGATTAAAAAAAAAAAAGCCAGAAATACACACTGGAAAACAGCATCTTCAGCGAATGGTATTGGTCAAACTAGATGTCTGCATATAGAAGAATGTAAATAGATCTATACTCATCATCCTGCACAGAACTCAACTCCACCTTTATAAGAGACTGTATGACCATGCCTTGTGTGAAATGTTAGCTGCTTATGCTACACACAAGGCACAGCCAAATGCCCACTGTCTCAATGTTCTCACCTGACTAAAGTGAGACAACCAAATTTGCACTTACCAACACAAGAGAGTTGCCCAAATAGAAATTTCAATGGCTCAAGGTAACCCCCCCCCAAAAAAAAAATTGTACACACACTAATTTGGTTTTCCTTCATTCACACGGTATGAATTAACACATACTGGGAAAGTACACAAAAAGGCACTCATCCTGCCCAATCAGATCCTTTTTAAAAATACAGACAGCTATAGGTGATTGACTTAAACCACCTCTAATCTAGCTATTGCCTAGCCTATTTTCCCCTGCAGTGTACACAATAAACCATTCTTTCTATTCTCATCTGAATGGAGGTCTGTTCAACACAAATACTTCTCTAATTAGTGCAATAGACAGCCCATTCTGAAAACAAATAGGTAGTTTTAGAAGAGTATGATGCTGTAAACCTTTAATCAAGAATTGAGGAGGTTGAGTCAGGAGGACAGCAGCGTCATTGCCCCGTGGGCCTAAACACTGGGACCAAGGCAAAGAAAGTCAACATAACAAACCTTATCTTAAAATATTTTTCTGAAAGCTGGAAGGTGTAACTGTTCTGGAATTAATGTGACATCACAATGAGAAATCACACACTTAAGAAAAATCTCTTCAGTAATTACAAGTCTCCTGTTCTACCAAATACACAGAGGACCTGACAAGAAACAGTTTGCTAACTCACATAAACCATAGGCTTATGCATTCCACATATGCTCTCAACCTGGAGAAATGCTGTTTACTGCCCTCCTGCTAGCATGGCTTGCTCAGTTTGATTCCTTATAGAACTCAGGACCACCTGCCCAGGGTAGCACCAACCACAGTGGGATGGGCCCTATTACATCAATCTCTAATCAAGAAAATACCCTATAGATTTGCCTACAGACCAGTGTGACTCTAGCTTATGCCAAGCTGACCAAAGCTAACCAGCATACCTACTGAGTCATCTCTCAGCCCCCAAAGACAGATTGTTAAGCAAACCTCAACTCTCTTAATGCTTGCTCTTCAGCATATACTTGTGCAGGCACACACATAAGGTTTTGAAAATCTGTTGAGTTTAGGACTGGAGAGATGGCTCAGCATTTACTATCACATTTTGGTCTTGTAGAAGTCCTGGGTTTGGTTCCCAACACTATCATGGTAGCACACAATCATTCCTAGATGCTGTTGAAGGGGATCTGACGCCCCCTTTTTTCTTCTGTGAGCACAAAACACACATGTGGTGATCAGACACATATGCAAGCAAATCTCTCATACACATGAAATAAAATAACAGAAAAATTAAAAACATATACCCCCATATCTCATATAGGCCATCATAGATAAATAAGCCAGAAATACACAGAAATGTGACAAATATCTGTAGCCAAAACTATAATTTTGTAATTAAAGAATTCAAGAAACTTGATCAAAGGAGAGAGATTCCATGTGACTGTAGATGAGAAGCCTAAATATTATTTCAGTACAGAATTTGTCTATAGATTCAGCAACACTCCAATAAAAAGTCTAACAATTTTTCCTATCAACAACAGAAAAATGATGACAAAAGGTCATCATGAATGAAAAAATGATAAAACACAAGATTAGGTAAACAGCACACACAGTGATAATACCATCTGACTTTGAAACTTCCCATACAACTGCAATAAAGATTGTACTGTCTGGGAAAGAATTAAGAGATTAATAGAACATAAGAGAAAACTTAGAAACAAAATCACAATTAAAACAGTGTTGAACTGAACACTTGAGGCCAGGAAACTCAGTAAGTCTGGCCTTCCTAACACACATGACTGAACCACCCTGGAATCTACATGCAAATGTGTTAATGACACAGAATCTACACCCTGCACAGAAATAACTGCAGGCGGATCCTACACCTGAATGTTCGGTGCCAAGTGTAGAACTTCTAGAAGACAATAAAGAAAGTAGAGCTCTTGTCAGTTAGCAAATCCGCTTTTCACGGCGATGACGAAAGTGGCGCATGCGCGCACGCTGCATGGTGCCCTCACAATAAGGAACTATCTACACACAGTTCCCACATCCCCAAGTTCTTTGCAGCCGTAGCCGCAGCCCGCAGACGGAAGTTATTCAGAGGCCGGGAGTTGTAGGGACAGCATGGATCTCACGGACCTCACGGGGTGCAGGTCCGGCCGCCGGTTCCCACAGCCCCAGGACCCTACACCGACTCCCGCGGCTCCTCCCCGCATGGGGATCGGCGCCCCTCGCTCACCATGGCGGATTCCGAGCTCGCCCCGCTCTCCTCACAGCTCCCGGCAGCGGGTGACAGCGCAGCACACGGAACACGAGCGACTCAGAACAGTCCCAGAGCAACCAAGCCAGACCCATGGAGGACCGGAAGTGCCATCACTTATTCTGACTGGCAGTCCGCTTAAGAGTCCTGTGATTGGTTAGTGCGTCCTGAGTAGGGGGAGCAACTCCCTTAAGGATGGAGCGTTGTGAAGGGACACACCACAGTAGTTCCTAGCCCTGGCCTCCAAATCTAGCCCAGAACTGTCTCAGACTTGCAGAAAATACCATTGCAAAAGAACTTGAGCATGAACTGCAAAGACGTCCCTGCACTTTTCCTGCACTCAGTAGGCACTTACCGTCCTTCCTCCTGGACACAGGGTGTTAAGTCTCAAATCTAGTACAAAAGGCTGAGGTGCGTATTTAACCTATAAAAGCAGACACTGGCTGCCAGGTTCTCCCTGCCTCCCCCAGTCCCTATCTGTGGCAGGATATGGCTGCCATGTCCTACCGCCTTCCCTGAACTTTTCCAGCCCAGGGGCTGAGCGGCTTTTCACTATATACTAACCATTCTGATAACCCAGTTTTTTCCATGTACACTTTGTTTTCCTGACCTCTTCAACTGGCTCTCCCCACTCCTCTGCCTCCTCTTCTCACATTACTCGGGCTCCTGTACACTCTGGATTCTCCCAAACGTCCCTGTCTCTCCCTACACCTTCCCTTTTATCAAAAACAAACTTTCTTCTCTACCACACCTAGGAGCAGTCATGTCCTTTCCTCTTTTTTTTTCCTTTTCTCCCCCCCCCCCCCGCATTCACGGCATCTCTAGCATACACAGATCATTACTTAATGTATAATGGAGTGATCTCCCTGTCTCACAGCTGAAATGATGCCCAGCCCATCCAGGTCAAATTTAAACCACCTGACTGCCGTTCACCAGGCATCAACAGTTTCAACAAGGCTCTCCTAGGATTGTTCATGCTTCTCCCAGCTGCACATTGTTAGGCAAACATGGACACTTTCCCAGCATTTACTCATTAAGTAAACAGAAGGTAGGTTTAACATTCAGTTGTACTCTGTACTGAGCACACTGACAGGAGGATCGCTGTGAAATTTAGGCAATCCTGGGTTATGCGTGAGACCCTATCTCAAAAGAGCAAATGACAAAGCATGACCAGGCTCTGCCACCCCAGCTTTTGGAACCATTAGCATCAGTCTTTGTTCTGGAGTCCACGTGGGACTGTGGCACCCTGGCCTTTGCCCCCAAGTCCATGGTCCACTTTTTGACACCCTGTCTGGAATCTGTGATGGTGCTGAAGCAGCAGCCAGCAGCAGTGGCAATGGCATGAAGAATCCCTGTCCAGCTGCTTTACTGCTGTGCTCCACTGCTCTGTGGAGGAATTTTATCCTGTGTTCTGCCTGCAGGCCTTCCGCTGAGGATTCTTTAAAGCCACACGAACACTTGACTGACATGTTCAGTCTGGGTCACCGTATGATTTCTGTCTCAGTAATCTACTTTCCCAGGGCTACTTATTTGTACCTGAACTTGGAAATTAGCAGGTGGAGTCCTATACTAATGGTGACTTCTAAAGGGTTGGACAGTCTTTGCCCCTGGAGAGGCCCA